CCCTATCCCCCTGTGTGCCTTGCCTCCCACGACTTAGTCACAAAAATAGACATGATCTCCAATGTGCTACCAACCTGGAAGTTGTGTGCCATGATTCCCTTGATCTGCTGTTTCAGAAGCTGCCCAAGGCCTTGGAGAGCTCTCGGTGCTACTACAACTGCAATTGTTCACTGCTACAGTACCAGCAGGTCCAACATCATCTAGAAAGTCAACAGAGCAGTAAAGCAAAATTATTGCAGATGCCACACGTAGAATGAAAATCTACTGATAGACTTCTAGGGAAAGGGAAATCATACACATGTGCCTCAGACATTGCATTGGTGATGCAGGTGCCCCAAAATCTCTTGTTGAAGATCCAATGCCAAGACCAGTTATACAATTTTGGGCAATTTATCGAAATACCTATGAGAGATGAACAATTTAACATTTCAGCAAAATTGTTTGATTTAATTTCAAAATACCCATCAAAATACAATGATTATGATTTGGAATAGTTACAAATGTGTAAAATGTTAAATAATGCATCTCTCATGGGTATTTTGTTAAATTTCCCTACAATTTCTATGGCTATTTTACCCATAGTCCAGTGTATGCAACCATACTACTAAGGAAGAAAAATAAAAAGAGAAAAAAAATATAAATAAATTTTTTAAAAAGGACATTTTTGTCCTTTATAATCTTGCTTGCAAAGGCCCAGAGTTCTGGAAAAACAAAAAGTAAGAAGAAAAAGATCCCATTACTAATATTTATACGATTATTAAATTTCTTTCATTATTTTGCTCCATAGGAAAACCTTGACCGAGGGCAACATAGTCATGACAAAATTCTTGGCCCTATACAGGTTGCTGTTTGTAATTATGTGATTCAGTTTCCTGGATTTCTAAATTTGAGGCACCTGCACATCAAATGCATGTTTTCCAAGCATTCATTTGTGATTTCACATGCATCTAGAATAACAGGTACAGCTTGCAGTGGAATGCAAGCTATTGACAAACAGATACAACCTTTGGGCGCATTTGGTACACTGAGAGGTGAAACAGTTGGATGGGCCCAAGAAGACACTGCACCAGTAGTGGTAGAGTTCCTAAGCAGTGAAGATGAATCTGTTCTGTGGGAATATCCAGATTCGAGCCTACAAGAGGTACTAGGTGGAAAGATGACATGTGCTTGTGGTGGCACTGATACTGCAAAATTTTCAAAATAGTAACAGGTAAAATCCTCTATGTAAAATGTGGCACTCAGATATCACGAAAAAACATGTGTGGAAAACTATATTAACCATTTTTAGAGGCTTTCTGCGGATATGGATGAGCAGCTTTGCGCTTGGGCCGAGGAGGTGGCACATGTTCGCTAGTCCCATTTTTCTGAACCTTCAAAAAGTACTTCTGTGCATGACTCCGAATCTGCAAAGCAGATAACATTTTTATGATAAGCTTACAGACCTGAGAGCTAATATTAGAAGAGCATAACCAATGACCATTAAAGGAGTAGCAAATAATATCCAAGCCTATGAATGTACCCTATACAGAGAAGAAAAATCAACATATTAAAAATCAAATGGGAAAACTTAGTCAAAGTTGAATAAACCAATACAGACGTGTTCAGAAAGGTGTAACAAGCACATTATAAGAGTTGTCATCTAGACCGCATCACCACTTGCCAGAATATTACACAATCAGAGTAAAAGGTCACTATCACCTCTGCCATTTCCATATTAGTATCAACTTGTAACATATTTTGCACTTACAGTACACCACCTTACAACTTAACAAAGATCTTAAAGCTCACTGAATGAAAGGAAGCCTCAGAAGTCACAATTACAGAGGTCATACAAACAATGCTTTCTGTATGTTTTTCATAATTGACAAAATTTTAAACTACTCTTACCATTACCCTATAGTAGTTTCTCTCAATCTTCCAATTCACATGGCTATCAAATCTCATGACTATTGGTACTCCATTTACCATTCGAATCATAGTTACCAGAATCCACCCAGGTGGCGATTCTGTTTCGGAATCTTAATTCAGCGATTCGATTAACAAATCTTCATGGAACCCGCTTCCTTGAAGTTAGGAATCTCGCTTCCACCTTTATCGAATCACAATCAGCATTTTCTTGGAATCCAGATTCCACAGCATCAAATACCGCGGTTCATAGGCGCACAAAATTGTGATTAGATCAACAAGGAATCTTGCTTCCAATTTTTAAGCATATCAATCTACGTTATTTAGAATCAGAATCTCATTTTTCAAGTACAGATGTCAAAACCAAAAATCTCATTTTCAAGGATATATATAGCAAAACAAAATATCATTTTCAAGAATATATAAGATAATATTTGTGTGTCTAATAAACACAAACACGAATTCCCTAGTGGACTAGTGAAACACTCAGTTATTTAAAAAATTATTATTATTTAATATATAATATGTGTATAAAAACTCTATGGGTGTCTTACAAACTCTACTAAACATTATTCCTAGATAATGAGAACCCAAAATAAATAATCCTTTTCTCAGATTTTTATTACTAATAAATCAACCATGTTTAATTTCTTTATTCAATCTAGAACCTCAATAGTTGGCTGCTGCAATTTTTTCTCTTCTCTTAGAAAATACTCTAGTGTGAGAACTAAATGGTTTTGAATGTTCTCAGATCTCAGGTTCAAAATCGACAATATGACGGGAAGAAACTCTGCCTCTACGTTCTCTCGACGGCCTGTTCACTCTGCGAACCAGCCCTACACCTTTAAACAACAACTTGGGTCTTCCTCAGTGGAGTTCACAGGAGTTGGAGGAGGAGTATATACTAATATTGTCCGTAAGTTCTCCAGTTCTCCTGGTGACAAGCGCAGGAACCCAGAACCTTCTCGATCCCTCGTCTCAGACTGGGAGACAATATACAACCTTTATCCTCGCTTTCCCTCTCAGAGCTCCCACCCTAAACCCTTTGTCCATGTTCTTCAGAGCCAGCCAAAGACCCCAGCGTCTTACACTAAGATTGTAGCTTCCAACGTACCCGTTCCCCTTTCGTCTCTGTCCTCTTCCCCTCTCCCCCCAGCTGTGCCCACGGTAGACTGCCTTTCCGAGGACCCAAACCTCCCCATTCAAATCCCTGACTCTGTTTCTCGGCCTTTATCTGCTAAGTTGCAAGCAGCGCTAGTAGGGGTTTTGTCCCTCGACGCAACGACATTAGGGGTATTGAGAAATGGGCACAGATTATGTGGGAAGAACCTAATGTTACATGCAGGAACTTGTCCAATGAGGATGTTGTGTTCTCCTTCCCATCCCTGACTCTGGCTTAGAAAGCAGTGGAAAACCAATCCAAACTTACCTTTAAAAGGGCCAAGCTTTCCCTAAAGCCTTGGTCTCCCAAGCAAGGATCCTCAGCCTCTTCCAAATTCTGGGTTACCTTAAAAAATATTCCTCTGCATGCATGGTCTCCCTTTACTTTTAGAAAACTTGCTCAAAAGTGTGGCAGGCTCATTTCCATCAACTGGAAGTAGTCTCTGGAATTTCCCCCGCTGGGTTCAATGCAAGTTCTACTGGAGACTCTTAATCCTTCAGCTCTACCCTCAAAAATCTGGATCAAGGTAGAGGAATCTTGATACCCAATCCTCATCGGCTGGTCATCGGCAGCTTGGGACCTCCCTACTCAGAAGGGCAACAAGATGACAGAACAGTGGACGGTGGTCCACCGGAAAAATAGACGGAGGCCACCGTGAATGATCAACCCAAGGTGCCGTGAATGATCAACCCAAGGTGCCCATCTCTCGCTACAAGGTCGCTACACGTGTCCACTCAGTCAGGCTTCAACAATTGCCCCCTGCCTGGAGCCCGTTCCAACCACCTTGATGATGTCAGTGAGATCCAACAGTTAGATCTCACTCGTAATGAGTCTGCGACAGCCGACTACCCGTTGAAATACCCTTCTCACCCCACTCCTGGCCATCATGGTGACCCCTCCCATCCCGAGGTCTCTTCGACACTTGTCCAGCACCATTCACAGGTGTCCTCTCCTATGACCTCTGTAAAGGTTCCTGATGTCCCATCACCGACTGGTTCTAACCCCTTGGTGAGTAACCTCCTACCCCTCGAGTACTCCTCTCCCTCCTCTCGTCAGTCAGTTTTATCTGACCCCTATTCCCCCTCCCCAAAAGTTCTCCCTCTGGATCCTCTGATTTCGAAGTCCTCCCCTGTCTTGCCAGAGCCCCTTGGAGCCGCTGCTGTCCCCTTTCTAAAGGAGACCATCCCATCGAGTGATGTCCTCCCCCAATTGGCCCCCTCCCTCGTTTATCCACAGTGAGCCTTCCCCACTGTCCCCACCCTTTCAGAGATTCAGGTATTCCTTCCTCACTTCTAAGGAGGCAGAGCAGAGAACTCCCCCACAAAAGAAGAACCTCTTTTTAGCGACAGAGGCTACAGATGAAGGTAGAAGTGTCCCAACGGCTAACCTCTCTCCTATTGCTCTGAACCTTCCCCTCCGTGAACCCCTTCTTGACCTGTTTGTCTGCTCCTTGTCTACTCCCTGCCTATCCCCCTACTCCCTGCCTATCCCCCTTGCCTCCTCCTGCATCCCTGGAAATGGAATGGTCCCAGTACCCAATTGGAGTCATGATGATCCTCACCTACTGCCCTTCGCTGTTAAACCTGGAGGCAATAGCTGCTAATCTTTCCCATTACATTCCTTTTCACCCTGAATTGTCCCCCATATACAGGGTTAGCTCCTCCCTTATTTCTTTCTACCGAATTCATGGCCACCCCCTTATCCCTCGTACAGCCTTCCCCATCATCGACAAGCATCTTCCACATTTCCACCTAGCACTTAACCCCTCCTACTTCGTGAGCCACATTATTGAATCAGAGGCTTTCTCTTCTAGTTCTCCTCTTCCCCTCGTCTTTCCCCCACCCTGTTTTGTCCCTTCACCACTTCGTCAACCTTCCCCTGCTACACCTCCCCCTACGCCTTATGAACCTTTATGCTTCATGACTTACAGCTTAACCCAACCTCTGTATCGGGGACCACCTAACCTCTCCAACCCCTTAACCGCCAACCTGCTCTGTACACTATTCCCCGCCTCTCCTACCTCTCCTCCTTTTACGAAGGCTCCTGCCCCTGCTTCAACGCATCACCAGAACCTAAGGATCTGCAGCAGTCGACGACTGGGAATGAGGAATTGGCCAGGTAAGACAGCATCGATGACATCAGCTTTGAGCAATCCAAAGAAAAGGTTAAGTTTTTCTTCAAAGTTATGGGTTTTAAATTCTCAGATTCACCACCAGCTGCTCCTCTCTTTGAATTCTACCTCGGGGGATAATGGACAGAGGAGGAAAAAAGGCTACAGAGAACTGATCAACCTTTTTTCCTCCATTAACCCCGAGCTTCTCTATCCCTCGGACCTGTCCACCAAGGCCACTGCAGTAACTGGTAGGTCTCCAGACAGGAGATCACCCAAACTTGCAGCAGCAGCACCCACCAACCTTGCCTAGATGAAGATCTTATCTTGGAATATCAGGGGACTTGGCCACACCTCTAAACAAAAAGCAGTTAGAGACCTGTGTGCCAAGTCGAAACCCTCCTTATTGATTATTTTAGAAACCAAACAACCTGATCCTGACCTTCGCTCTGTTAGAAAAGTGTGGGGTAGATCACCATGCCAATGGATCTCTTGCCCAGCTCTAGGGGCCTCGGGAAGGATCTGGGTGATTTGGGACCCCATGGAACACTCTCTGACTTCCACTCACATAGGTGATTTTCAGTCACGGTCCTCCTCTCCAGGAGAACTGACCACCTTAAGTGGAAGTTTACTGCTGTGTACGGCCACAACAGGTCAGCTCCGAGGCCAAAATTTTGGGAAGAAATTGAAGATATCGCCAACCTTTCTCACCCCATCTGGTGTCTGGGGGGGTGATTTCAATATCACCAGATGGTCTTTTGAAAGAAACTCCTCTTCCCAAGTCACCACATCCATGTATGAATTCTCCGACCTCATTTCCAGACTCGAATTAATTGAAATTTCACTTTTAGGGAATCAATTCACTTGGTCGGACCATGGAGCCCAACCCACTCTATCTAAATTGGACAGATTCTTAGTCTCCCCTTTTTGGAATGAAAACTTTCCAGGGTCTCACACCTTTACTCTCCCTAAACTCATTTCAGATCATTGCCCCATACTTCTCAGTACCCAATCTGGTCCTAGAGGACCGAAACCCTTTCGTTTCGAACTGGCTTGGACCTTAGAAAAAGAGCTGACAACACTCATTGATTCTTGGTGGCAAGGTTTCTCAAATCAAGTCTTTGGTAGAGCTGGTTTCAGGCTTCAGAAAAAGTTGCAGCTCCTCAAAAAATTTATTATTTCATGGAAATCCTCCCTGCAAGGAAACTTCTCAGTGTCAAAAAGAT